ATAGAGAAGACCACTAGCACATATTCAAAAGAGTGTGAGTTCTAAAGACATCAACAGGTGTTCTACAAGTTTGCACAATACTAAGTTTTTTCGGTAAGTGATTTTCATATACATATCAATATACATATCTTATTTATAAATACTATTATATTTGCTACTATATATAACATAACCAATATTAGAACAAGAGGAGAATTAAGAAAGTTAAAAAAACATAAGCAAATAGCAGCTCAACATGCAAATTCAAATTTTAGAATAGCTGAAAATTATAAATCACAATATACTCAAAGATACAATGCTATACGAAATAATCATTAAAAACAAAAAAAATTAATACATGTCTTTTAAGAGATAATTAAGCAAAAACAGCAAATGTTCCTTTACATATTTTGGAAATAAATAAAGACTTTGAAAATGCAATTAAAGAGCATATTACATGGCCACATATAATTGATCTAGAAGTATCAAAAAATAATTTAGCAGAGTTTTGTGATAAAATTGATACTGTTAACTTAAAAGAGTTATCATGTGCTATTTGTTCTGAGCTTTATATTAAAAAAGATTACAAAAAAGTAACAGTTGATAAAATTGATTTTTTATTACTCAAAGCACCAGCTCAACTTACTGAGCCATCATTTGAAATAGATTTTTGCTATAATCATCTATATATTGATTCTGTTGAAATTAATATTTTGTTTAATAGAGCTGGATTTATTTATAAAACTGAATTTCAAGAAAAAAAATATTAATCCATTTGATTTAAGAATTTGTAAAACTTGTTATAAATACTTGCAAGATCATAAAACACCTCCTTTGTCTTTAGCTAATAATATGTGGGTTGGGTCTACACTATTGTGTTTTCAAGATCTAACTATTCCAAAACAACTTATTATATCTCCTAGATATCTGTGTATGAATCTTATCCAAATATCTAATAAAAAACATACACATCATAAACTTAAAGAGCATGTTATAACATTATCACAAAATCTAGGTTCATTAATAAAGTTATTACCTTTACCAATGTATAAGCTTTGTAAATATTTAAAAGTAGTATTTGTTGAACAAGAAGCCCCTACTAATTACCATCTTAAAAAAATATTACAAGTTCGAAAAAGTAAAATTATTATAGCTTTTCATTGGCTTTTTAAACATAATACTTTATTTAAAGATTTTAACTTGATGAAAGTGCACTAGAAAGTTTGCCTGAAAGAGAAATTCCTGATACTCTAAAAGCAACAATTACTATTGTAGATCTTGATTACAAAAAAATAAAATACTATACTGGATATATGCAAGATAAGTTAAATAATTATAATAAAACAGATAGTGAAAATAAAAATAAAAATTTTAATATAAAAAATACAATAGGCAGTGCATATGAATTAAGATCTTCAGGAATGATGCATATTAATGATATACTATTATCTAAAAAGAGTTTACTTTACTTTTACTTCAAAAACTTATAGAAAATTCAAAAAATTAATCTAAAAATCAACAATTACCTAATAAACAAAATAGTAATAATGAATATTTACAACCACAACTTATTTATATACATAGACCACTAAATGAATATGAAAATAAAAATTTATTTTCAGCTGGATTTCCTACTTTATATCCATATGGCATTGGAGATCATGAAGGTCGATCACAATATGTATCTTTGAAAAAGTATATTAATTATTTTATACGTCTTCATGATTCTAAATTTAGATTTTCTTTTGTTGCATTTGATATTTTACAATGATGAGAGATATCATCAGAATCATATAATTTAAATAAAGGTAAACCATTTGAAAAATCAGCAGAATTAATTTTATCAATTAAATTAAATGATATAAAGATAGCTATTAAACAAGAACAAAATAACAACTATTAACAAATTCTGCAATTATAGAATTACTTAAAAATATTAATTCTGTTGGTTCTAAATTAATAGCATCTCATCAATCATAGATTTGTATGCATAGTGAAATATTTGCAATTATAATACGAAATAGTATTCTTCACTTTATTACAATAAATCCAGTAGATTTATATAGCCCTATAGTTATAATATATGCTGGAAAAGAGATTGACATTGATAAGCTATCTTCAAATAATTTTCCAAAAGCTTCAGAGCAAGAACATCTTGCACATCTTGACCCCAAAAATTAATAGATAATACAGAATTTTGTCAACAATTATTAAATTATATTAGTAGTATTGTTTGTAAAGATATTAGTTATCTTCTTAAAGAAGGTAAAATTTTAACAGATAAAATACTTAAATCTAAACAAATAGCTTCTAAAACAATACAAAAAAAAAGAATACATCCATTTTTTTTCCAATTCCTAACCCAAACTTACCTAATTTTACAGAAAATTTTTATCTAGATTTACTTGCAATTATTAAACACACACACATTCATCATTGTACTAAAACATGCAAAAAATATAATCATGGGTTGCAAAGACAATGCAGGTTTGATTTTCCAAGAGAATTAGTAGACCCTCCTAGATTGGTTTTTCCTAAACAAGGGATAATAGCTATACCACGATCTAATGCTTTTATTAATAATCACAATTCATTTATAACATCAGCATGTCATGGAAATAATAATATTAAATTTATTTTAGCACAAAAACTTTCTTTAGCATATATTTATTATATCACAAATTATATTACCAAAACAGATGTCAGTACACACAGTTCATTTTTAATGTGTGCTATGACTCTAGAGAAATTTTTATCATCTGATATTACTTCTTTTAATTATATAGAAAAGCCACATAGTATTATAACAAAATGTAAATAAAATAGCTAGTCAGACTGAGCTTACTGGTCCACAGGTTTTAGCATATTTATTAGGTATTAAGGACCATTATACTCCATGCAAATTTGTATCAATTTATCTTCAATCATTTGAATATTATATTATTAATGAGTGGAATAAATATCAACAAGATTTATTTGAAAACATTGAATATAATTTAGATGAAACTTATAAAAATTATGAACAAGATAAACAGGATAAACAGGATAAACAAGATTCTCTCAAATCTTTTTAATATCTTCTTCTAATAGTAAATTAATAGCATCAATTCTTTGAGTTGATTATCAGTTTCGAAATCATGAATTGCATAATATTTGTCTCTATGATTATGTTGCTACTATTCAAAAAATTCCAATTAACTCTTATGAACTTTCTAAGTTAGCTATACAGTGTTCAAGAGAAGGAAATGCCCGTGTTGATCAATTTTTATTTTGTAGTGGTGAGCTTGAATATATACAAAATCAAATGAATGATACTTCTTATTCACAATGTCAAACCCATATTCAGATACACTGAAAACATGGAACAAAAAGAGTAGTTATATTATATGGTAAAAGTATTCCAAAAAAAAATGATATTGAAAATACAGAATATTATGGAATATGTATTCTTCTACTTTTTAAACCATAGAAATCAGTTTATAATCTTAGAGAATATTACAATACATGGTCTGAGGCATGTGATGCTTTTCTTAATAATTCTACATTATCACCATGTTTAAAATTTATAATTAATAATATTGAATTACTACACTATTGTTTAGAAGAAACAGAATTAGATAAAAAACTAAGACAAAAAGCAAATTATAATCCTTTATTTGCAAAAGCACAATGAATTAACTGCTCTGTACCTGAATATAATACTGATGAAGATTCTGAATTCTCTGACTATTATGATAACATGGAAATAGACAATTCTATTGGATCTATAACTGGTTTTGATTTAGCTATAGTAGTAAAATCTGGTTTAAAAGATATTAATATTGTTAATGAAGCAATGAGCTTTTTATATATTCGAGGAAAGTTTAATTTTATATCTAATCTTAACAATATCAATAACTTTAATCAATTTAATAAAAATTCAATAGCCTTTGAAAATGATTTACATATTAGCAATAGTTATGATGAGGAACTTATTAAAATATGGCAAGAAACAATTGCTTCTTGAAAAAAATCATTAGAAAAAAAATAATAATGTTGAAATAGATAATATTTTATTAAATTCCTATATAGAACATTCTTATGATACCTATAATCATACCCATTCTAATATACCTCATGAAGCAGGCATTCTAGAAAACCATTCTGATATTTTTGAAAGCCTTGCTTCTGAATTAAATGATGAACAAAAAAAAGTATACTTTCTTGTATGTGATCATCATCAAAGAAATAATCCAAATAGTAATATTAAACTATCTCAATTATTACTTTATTTTACTAGTGCAGGTGGAAGTGGCAAATCTAAAGTTATTGAATTGATTTGTTTATACTTTGAATATATACATCAACATTATACACTTATCATATTAGCACCCACTGGAATTGCTGCATCAAATATTTCAGGCAGCACAATTCACTCTGCATGTGGGTTTGGCTTTGAAGAGTATAGTAAAAATGCTGACACAATGACAAATAAAATGCTAAATAATTTGCAAGAAATTTGGTCTAAAATTGAATATATAATTATAGATAAAATCTCTATAGTAGGACAAAACCTACTTGCATGGTTTCATTCTTTTACAAAAAAAGTAAAAATAACAGATTGCTTAGCACCATTTGCTGGTTTAAATATTCTTTTTTCAGATGACTTTATACAACTACCACCTGTTTTAGATCCAGCACTCTATATGCCAAATAAGGTCTCTCATATTTCTGAGTTACCTAGTATTAATAATATAGAAGACTCTTCAAAAAATAATAAAAGAAAGCGCAATACTAATTCCTTATTAATTAATAATCATACAGTAATGAATGCATTAGGAAGAGACCTTTGGTTAAATGTTAAACATGTTATTCAATTAAAAAACCAATGCGTCAAATAAATGATTCTTTCTATGCTGACCTCCTTAAAAGTATGCAGTGTGAACATTTTACAGAAAAATATTGGGCAGCTTTATGATTCAAGATTCTTGGTGATTATTGAATAAATAATCCAGAATGGGCAGATGCAACATTTCTTGTTACAAGAAATGATATTCATATTCAAATAAATTTTGATGCATCAAAAGAACATGCACAATGTTTTCAAAAACCTATTGTATATTCCTGTGCAGAAGATACCTACCATCGAACACCTCTAACTGAAAATAATCATCTAAAATTTTTATCAATATCTGATTCAAAAAAAAATGTATTATGTGAAATATTATCTTTATTTGTTGGAATTAAAGTTATTATCACTATGAATATTTGTATTAATGATAATTTAGTAAATAGCGCTCAAGGCATTATTCAACAAATAGTATATAACAAAGAATCTATTGATTTTTTTCCTTAACAAGAAAAAGGATTAGTGTTAAAAAAACCTCCAAAGTATGTTGTTGTAGAGTTATCTGGTCGAAAACCTAGAACTTATAAAGATCTACTAGTAAGATGTGTATCATTATATCCTGTCAAACGTGGTTGCACTTATATTATTCAAAAAAGAGATGGATCTAAAAAAAAAAGAAGATTCCAATGCTTCCAACTTCTCCTAACTCCTGCTTATGCGTTCACTGATTTCAAATGTCAAAGTCGAACTCTTCAAAAAACAGTCATCGATTTATCATTTAAAGGTGCACACAATAGCACTTATATAATGTTATCTCAAGTACAAAAATTAGAAGATCTTTTGATTCTGCAACTTTTCAATGAATCTATATTAGATGCAAAATTACCACCAGCACTACATTCAGAACTCATATGTCTTGAAGAATGTACACAGAAAACTATGCTACTTGAAAAGTGGCCAGATAAATGAAATACTATGTAGTATTATAAAATCAATAACAACAGTAAAAACACATATTTTCAATTATAGAATTAAGGTAAATTAAAAAAATATAATATGCAATATAACTAAAAATGTGCTTACTATAATATTGCATCTTTACAACATAATTTCATGGATTAACGAAACTTCATAACTTGCACTATAATTGCAATCATCAAAATATTAGTTACGAACTTTTTAAAAAGCTATACTTAATATAATTTATTAAATAAACTATTCACTTTTACAATAATGATATATTGCTATTTAATAATTTAAAATTATATATGTATTATAAATAATACAATTTATACAATATGCATATAATAAATTTTATACCAATAAGGTCTCACCTTAAATATTAAAAAAAAAAAAAATTTATACCAATATATTAAGGCTAATATCATTTAAGATACTATAAAAATTTTACAATGAATAATTATTGCACTATAACAAGGTACATATTTATTACTCAAGAAAATCAAAGTGTTAGTTTGATATTATAGACTGAATCTATTAATTATATACTTTCTCATATATAATTACATCAACAATAAACTTCCTAATTACATTATTGTAAATTTGTAACAATAAGCTTCCAAATTATGCATCAATTATTTTATTACATTATTCTCACCCGATACTACACCAATTAATTCCATCAATAAATATATTCAATACAAATACTAATGTCATGATCTCAATCAACTAAAATAAAGTTATAATAATAAATGTTTTTATTTTAATAATAAATTATTAAAAGCTATTCAAAAAATAAATAAATATTATTTCTCATTCTCTTTATAATACTTATTTAACTCTAATTATTACATAAATTGTATCATTAACTTCACTCGCACAATATTTAACTCTAACATGTAATCGAAACAATAATCACAGGACTTTGACCCTTAAGCGATACTGAGATATGTACAATACAATTTTTTTTTCATGATATAACCTTTCTTCAATATAAATGCTCTTCGATAATTACATCTCGCACAACATACTTTTATTAATAAATTCACATATCAATTCTTTAAAACTTAGTTTGTTTTAAATTTTCAATATCTTCTACTCTTTAAACATGTCCCTATGAGTAAATCGTTCCTGGTTTTAGCGCAACTACGTTGCGCAGCTACCTTATTTCTATTGTGTTTTTTAAACTTATGTTGTATGGATTTAAAAAAAAAGCTCCGATACGTAAATTACTATATTTTCTTCAAATTAATACAAAACAAACCAGAGTTCGCTATAGAGGTTTGTTATTGATTAGTGATATTATTAAACATTAATATTATCGATATGAATATTTGCAATCAAAACATTGGGCTTGGAATTGCAATTCTTGAATGTGTGCCAGGTTGATGGCGCATTGACCAGCCACAATGATCACTTTTATTTCAGTATGAACAGTGCATTTGTAAAATTTCTTTTTACCAAAAACTTCACCATGTGTTTCATCAACCATCCTGACTTTGAATGGTTTCTATTTTTCTTTTGTGACTTGAAGACATAACAGAAATAATTTAATTTTTAAAATTTTTAGTTTGTTCATCACAAAAAAGGTACTATTATAAAGAGAGTTGACTGTACTTAATATGTAAATAAACTATATTACAGTAATTTTGGAAGTATGTAAGGATAACAAAGCTTATGAAATTTAATTATAAAAGTGAAATCATTATATTAACTTTAAGGAATACTTTTTTAAATTATGATTCAGCATAAATTATGAGAAAGTTTTTTTTTATTTAAAGAATTTTTTTTTTCTTTGTAAACTATATAGTATGTATTATATCAAAAACTGACATTTTTTTCTGTAAAAATTTTTAATATTATAAATTATAAACATTATAAAAGTAAAGAATACAATTATTTTTTTGAATTTAAAACAATAATATTAGAAGCTAAAGATTATGAAAAAAAAAAATGAAGGGAAACGTGCTTTTTTGAAAATAACAAAAACATAATTCAAGCAGAAATAATGTTAAAAAATAGTGTTTTCATTTATTAAATTTAGTGATACGGGCTGATGCCAAACCCTTAGGTTGGCCCGGCTAGCAAAAAAGATTGGGCTGGTTGACCGGGCTAACCTTTCTGTAAAACGTGATATTCAGGGTGCTCTCAAGTGCCTTAATCAATAGATCAGTGTATAAATTTTAATTAATAAAAATTAGCTTAGCCGGTCAAGAGAGTTTATCACCGCAGTCAAAAAAAAAGATGGTTAGTGACCATCTTTTTTCTTTATAGAGCTGCACTAATTGGCCAAAATTTATCATAGAGTGAGATTATTCAAACACTTTACAATCAAACCATAATTTTTTTTTTTACGATCAAACCTAATTTCTTTTTGCAATTGAACCATTATAATTTTTTTTTGTCAAATCATTTTTTTTTTTTTTTTATGATTGAATCATTATACTTTGCACTAAATACACTTCTAGCAATATGGATCTTCACCGTAAACAACAAATTACTTTTTTACTCTTCGTGCTAAAACCTAAAAAAAAATTTTATTAATTCTTTATAAAAAATTTACAAATTTAAATAAAATTCAATATATACTTCTTCATATTCGCTATTATTTCTATTTAAAACTAAAGAGTTAAATAATGGTGCAGAAGAATAATGTTGTTGTAACAGCATATGATAATTTGTTAAATCCGTAAAAGGAACAACAGGTGTATTGTAATTAGCAGAAGGGACAATAGAACTATTTTGGAATTGCTAAAGAAGTAGCAGAGGCACTTGAAGTAGTTGGAACAAATACATTTGAAGTTGTCGGTAATAGTAATATATTATTTGCTGCCTTAGTAAAAAGCAAGATGCATAAAAATTATTGGTAAATAGGCATATGTAACTATACATACTACCACATGACCTTGTGTTTTTAGAGGCCATCCTGGGTCATATAATAGCAATCCCCGCACAGATCCGATTCTGAACCATTATTCAAATTCACATGATGTGAGAATGCTCAAAAATATAGTTATCAAAAAAGGTTTTTGCAATAGCGATAAATGCAAGCATAAATAGCTTGAATTAAAATTCTTTTTTTAATCATGCTGTGAATCAAGGATTCAAGTATATTAGTGTATATATAATAACTATGTACTCCTCATTGTTACTGTTTTTGATATGATAGCATCTTTTATTTTGGATAATACCGCTACATGAATATTACTATTTATTTT